AGTTTTACCACCTTTACATACAGATAGACCTTATACGATCGAATCATTCGATGTTATTTATACTAACCAAGTAAAAAGAAACAAGGGAATTTGAAAGCAGCTCTCAAAAAAGTATCACAGAATGAAAAGGAAGGATCTTTAAATTCCTATCTGCATTTACACACTTCTAATTTACTATGTATCTTTGGTGAGTTTTTACTATGTGTAAGTAGTACTTTTTATTTTGGTGTTAATATGTAGAGGTATGGATTTGAAAAAGTGTGTAAATGTATTTTAGGTGCACGACATGGAATTTGCGCCTAATTTGGATATAATTATCAATGAAACACTACCAGCTCTACAGAAAGTCAAAGACAGTGGAAAGGCAAAGTTTATTGGCATAACAGGTTACCCTTTAGAAAATTTTAGGTGAGATTTTTTGACAGTATATTGAATGTACCTGTATACTTGTGCCTATTTTATTACATTACAAAGACGTTAGTCTATAGAGTTACCTTGTGCGTGTGTGCACTGATAAACTGAAGATTTCTTATTCAAGGTTATCTTATTTCCATTTGACTTGGTTAACATTTATTTACCCGAGATATCCCGTCATAGTATACTAATATCATGTAACTTTTTTAAATCAATAAATCAAGTCTAGTAGTCAAAGTAAAGTAAAGTAATAATGCACGTAACAATCGTTAATAGAGAATTATTAAAAGTGAACCTTCATATATAACCGTTGCATTACGTATGCGACAAAAGAACTTATGCATTTGCAGAAAACGAATTGACACTATCATTCTTTTATTATTATTTTTGTTCTATAGTCAATTAAGAAATTAACTACTCAAGGACGGACATCGTTTGTTTATAGATCTGACTTACATTGTAACCCATTAATCTATCATTAAACCAAAATCATACAAATTTCACAGAAATAGAGTTATTTGCATAATCATAGTTAAACAAATTATATCTCCTGGTTGTGACATTTAAACCGATTTCGGATTCGCAAGCCGGTCGATGCATGCATAACAGAAAACGATTACACTCTCGATCTACCCGGTCTCGCTTAATTTTGAGTTCATCCGGTTCTGTCCGTTTTTGTGTTTATATCTTCTTAATGGATTTGAACATCGGTAAGCTACTGTTGCCTCTCATTTATATCAACGTAATATCATAATTTGATTTTAGGATGACATGGCATAGCTTTCTAATAGAAAATTGTATGGAACTTCTTAACCGGTGTGTGTGTTTTGTATAAATTTTGACAGCTTTTCTTTGTTGCTCACAAAAAGATTCTTCTGTTTTGTGATCCTTTATTACAGGTACCCAAAAGAAAGAAAAAATTGCAAAAAGTATATGCCTTTATGATACTTTATGATACTTTAAACCTCTGTAATGGAAGAGAATGATAAAGTCATCATTCATTTTTGATACAAACGGCTTTTTATTAATACCATTTTGCTATATTAATTTTGAACTTTGAAAATTTATTTGGAATGGCTTAATGGTCTTATAATGTTTTTTTCTATTTTCAGAACCGTAATAGATAGAAGTACTATTAAGATTGATACCATATTAACATACTGTAGGGCATGCATGCACGATAATTCGTTGGTGGATTATATTCCGTATTTTCAGGTAGTTAAAACTTTTTTTTAAATCCTAGATGGCGGCACCCTTTCCAAGTCTTCTGAATCAAAATACAAAGGTGTTTCCTGTAACATTCAATAATTATTATGAAATAGAACAGTCTGGTTTTTTTATTACTTTTAGTAAATGAGTTCCTATGATAACGTCATTTTCTGACATTTCAATTTTAAAGAAGATTATCTTTCTTCAAAATAATTGATAAACTTTATGAAATTGGACACCAATTATATTTTCCTTTAACGGGAAATATCATATTGAGAAAATCTTAAATATTTGTTTTATATTCTTGATAGGGAAGGTTGTAAAAAAAAAATGACCAAAAGTCCTTATTTCGATATTTATGATACTAATTAGATACCAATAATAGCAATGAGTTCGCTTACTAAGGTACATATTAAATATGTACATATCTGAACTAAACCCAGTCACACAAAAGCAGGACAAAACATGGTCTTCAAAAACAGACCACTGTCTGTGATATATGTCAAGTTTGTGAAAGATTTCAGAGTATTTATTCATTTATACTAGAACTATAAATACTATTGGCATTTTGTTATTAGGAAAAGGGTATTGGTATTGTCAATGCTTCACCTATTGGCATGGGGCTACTTTCAAATAGAGGACCACCAGAATGGCACCCGGCATTACCTGAAATCAAAGAAGCTTGCAAGAAATGTGCAGAATACTGTAAGGTAAGTACATTGTGAATATACATAAAAAGTAAATTTTTACTGCGAAACTTTAGAAAGATCATAAATTCAAACTGATACTTACACAATTTGCAATTTACTCAGTCTTAGGGCGGTACTTTGTGTCTTTTGTCTTTTGTTAGTAGATGTTTATGCTTCGTCTATAAGTCAAGCCCTATCCGACTGAGTTTTACAGTGTGTTCTTATAATGTGCTGTTACATCCACTGTCCCAGGTTAGGAGTGGGTTGATCGCTTGCAAACATGTTTAACCTTGCCACATTTTCCCCAAGTCAGGAACCTGTAATTCAGTGTTTGACGTTGTTTGCTGTTTGCTGTTTTTCATTTTTGTTTTTCGTCTGTCGCTTTTACATGAATCTTGCCTTTGATTTTCTCGCCTATATTGTTTAACATTTTGTCAGGTCAGACCCTTTTATAGTTTACCATGCAGTCTGCCGGATTTTTGCTCATTGTTGAAGACCATGCGGTGACCTGTAGTTGCTTGCATCCGCTTCATTTGATCTCTGGTGGATAATTGTCCAAATGGCAATCATACCACATTTACTTATTTTTTTTACCGTAGAAGTGATTTTAATCTTTATTATTTGGCAGGAACAAAATGTAGATATATCCCGAATAGCAACAGCTTTTACTTTACAACAAGAAGTATCTACAACATTGGTCAGTTCTGCAAGGTAAGAAAGTCTGATCTAGAAGATGATTTTATGATAAGAACCAAAGTCATTTGACAGAAAACAAATGTTAAAATTGAAATATGTGTATTCATTAAACTCATTGGTGGTACTATCTTCTCTATAGTTAAATCCATATCCTTCCACAATTTATCGATGCAGTTGATGAACATTAAGTTATTTGTAAACATTTTGTATACATTGATGTGATCTTTCTGACAAAATATTTATGTCCATTACTTCTTATGTAGTTTAGAGAATATGAAAAAGAACCTGGACTCGGTATATAATCCACTGACGGAAAAGGAGAAACAGGTGTCAAATTATGTCATCAAAACGTAAGTAAAGCAAAGAAAGGAAGAAAGACATAATAAGAAGAAAAAAGAGAGTAATACAATGTACATCTGATATGGTGTATGTCCTAGTACAATGCGTTTATATGTAAGATAACAGTTCAAGATCGAGATGCGTTATTAATGCACATGACATGCAGCTTTAATAAGGTAAACATGAATTCCAGGAACATTTTTGGCAAACAAATAACATTCCGCCACTAAATCGAAAATTACAAAAAACATTTTATGTCTATATTTGTGAGGTCTAGGTTGTCAGTCTTTGATATGAAAAATTAACATTGTTTTAAGTGTTTCATCAGCATTATAGAGTAAAGAACTTTTTCATTCGCTGCTTCTATTGTTTGTTCTTCAATATTAAGCACAGGTGGCTGTTGAGCAATGCATATTTTTTAAGTTTACGCCCTATGGCTTGAAAGTACCTACGAAATAATAATCATGTAAAGGCATGTCTTGTTAATTAAATTAGTTACTGTATAGATTTAATTGAATATGTTTCAGATATCTGGATCCACTGCCAGTTAAACATTGGGAAGGTGCAGAAGTAGCACAGTACCGGGATTCCATGGCAAAACTTATCTCAAGCAATTAATTCACAAAATTTGATTACATTGTAAATTTTCAGAAAACTTAGTCGATATTTAAGGTTGACTCACTTGACTGCCATTGCTTGTTACAAAAGATATTAAAAACTAAAGTAACCTGAATTTACAGAGGATTGTCCGAACTATTATTACAAAAGAATCACTTTTATTTCTTAAAGTTTACTAATTTTCTTTTCGTAATATGTACTTTCCTTAGTTGTTCTCTCATTGTTCAATAGTACTGAAGAATAATGTATTTGGACTGTACACATTTGATCCAATGTGTAACCACTCATATGGACTTACCATATTATATTATATTCCATTACTATGGTCAAGTCAGACAGGACTAGACTATCATGAGATGCAGACCTTACGCTACGGTCCCGACAAAGACAGTTCAATTTGACACCAAAAGCAGTATACAATATGCAATGAAAACAATGCATTTTGTCGGGCAGGATAAAAAATACAAGCGAAGGCCGCCATATGATATGGTCCTGGCCTAAGGTCTTTGGAACATAAACATTAAATGATTTATATTTCAATTCATACGATTCATACTGTTTTCGCTGCTAGATAAATAAAACATTATCAGTGTCACTTGAATAAAAACAATTGGAATACGGAGTTGAAGAGTATCAAAAACCGAAAATTCCGATAAGTTGTGTAAGTGACCATCACTTGAATTGTCCATATTAGATATATTTTATGATATATCTAACTCAAGGTCAGACGTGTCAGAGAGTTGAAAAGAAGTAAAATTTTAAAATGCCCCTCCTGTCTTTCGTTGTTTGGTGTATTTTACCCATTGTGCAATAGAGGTAAGTTATGTAAATGCAATCTTCTGGACATTATTTTTGTTGGTTAATTCATGTATAAATAGATGCTATTTTTATCTGTTAGGCCTAGTGTTATAGACATTTGGTCTCAATTGAAGGTATTTTTACTACAACAGCCCTTTGAACTAAGTAGAATGTCAGATTTTCATCCGCATCCTGTTCTAAAGTTCTTCTGCTGGAGAAAGAGTCTAAGAACAAACATTCATGGAAAAACATAAACAAAGATTTTAATATTGAAATAAACAGATTTAACATATACAAACAGTCAATAGATATATACAAAACAAACAAGAAAAATATTTGTAAATATATACCCATTCACAAAAATGACATTTTAATATAATTACCCTAAAGACAACCACATCATAACGTTATAGGAATACAAATATTGGCACTGAGTATATTCATTACATTGATGAGCAAGCGTTTTTCATTCGATACTATAATACTAAATAATTCACGTCGAAATATAACTAATTAAAGTGAAATGTTGCTGGATATAAAAAAAAATTCATACAAAGTTTAACATAATGTTACTTGACTACTCGAAATTCGTTAATGTTTTGTTACAGGTTATTTAACCATTCACAAAGATTAGGTATTTTACATTTTGGATCTTATGTCTTAAAACAAAACTATAAAAAATAGAAGTAGTAGATGTACCGGAGATTAACTACGTACAAATGTAACTTTACATCTTAAAGATGCAAAAAGAAAAAAAAAACTGGTGCATAGTAACTAAATAAAAGGACACAATGGTAGTCCCATTCCAATTATTTTATTTTCAGATGGTACTGATATCTCAGAATCGTATGCCATGTCATTCGTTTGCAAAAAGCTGATTAAAGCAAACTGCTTCAAGTTATGGGACCAAAGCCGAGTGAGATTCGTTCATATAAAAGCTAACCGCGAAATTGATCGAAATATTTCGTGTCTGAGTTTGTTTGCATGGTACAATATATGGGAGACATGTCTTTCGATGTATTATAATGAGTTTGTAATATGCATTATAGTTCCCAACCATACAAAACAATGACAACTAGGAATGTCCTTTATCAGCTTGATACAGTAGCCAGAGTTTCTTCCATTTTCTCTTTAGCCCATCTAGATTCCAGTGTGTTAGATACTCTTTCCATGAAAGCACTTTTGGCAGGTCTGTGACGTAATCGAAAACGCTGGAAAAATTGCAATAATGAACATTTGTTTAAAAGATTTTAAATAAACATTTGGCCTTTAAATGAACTGCTGATATTATGAAATCGAAACGCTTTTAATTTTATATATTGTCAAACAGAATTATTCAACTAATCATCATATCATACAACATACGAGTTAAATTTGGTAAAGTTTATCATTCCCTACTACAACGGTTTTGTGCAGAACGGTAAGGTTTCAGATCTAGATGAAAGTTATCAAAATATTGCAATTGGTAAAATTGTAAGACAGACCCAGACATCATGTCATCGCACACGAAATATGTTATGCACAAAATATTGCTTGGATTTTTCTTTGATATAACATTGGCAAGAAATATTGACTTTCTTTCTAATAATTAACTTACCGAATTATATGTACAAATAAAAATAAAAATAACCAATACCAACTGAGCAAAGCTTTTGTTATTCAGAATATATAATATTAACGAGTATATTTCATTAACGTACCTTTTATCCAAGTATTAATTAAAAGTTATGATTTTATAATACACATTGAATGTATATAAATATGTTAATCAAATTTAACTACCATCGATCTTTATTCTTTTACCCGTTGAACACTAGAACATGAAAAAAAGGTTGCTAAATTTACAATTGTTGGTCATTTTTGTCATGGTTATATTAGAAACTTCAGATTAATTGGGATTAATTTTTCCATTTTCTTAACATTGTGATTCGTTGTTATACTAGTCTTCAGTCATTCTTTTTACCTAGATAAATCCTTTTTGTAGTAGACTTATAGGGCAGCAGTCCTTATGCGCTAATTTCTATTTTGAAGATGTATCATTTCCGCCAAATATTATTTTTCAAATGTATCAGTTGCGCCAATTCACGGAATTTATACGCACCAAATTACTTGTACTAATACATTAAAATCCTTAATAAATTATGGTACCATAAAAAGAATAATTTATGGAATTAAAGACTATTGTTGCAAGATATGACAAAATGATAAGAAAGTAGATGCTTTTGCTGATTATGTGTTATCAATAGATGTTAATGACAATGCTTTTTCCCACAATCCGTGTGGCCTGAAACTTCAAAATCCGCGAGACGAGTTTTATTAAACCACTTTAAAGACTTTAAACTCAATCACTCAGTCAATGGAAAATGCCGGTAAAACACTGGATAAATAGAGAGACGGAGGTCATTGCTTTTCATTAAAATAGATTGTCGCAATCGTATACGTGTACTTTATTTCTGGCGCAAATGACACTAGGCATATTGAAAACTAGTGGCACAAGCGAGTTGTGGAGCAACAGGACTTTGACGCATGTTTGGCGCAAACGGATTTCTCCAACTGGTGTCCAAAGTGTTATAAGTTCGAGTTGTAAATCTATCTTATTGTATTATTTTCCACACATAAAAATTTATATCGTATTTCTCATGAATTCATTACAGAAAACTAATGATTAAGAAACATATAAATTTTTAATTTTGACATTAAACCAAAATAGGATTTATATAACGGTATAAGAAGCTGAACAAATTGTACAGAACTATGTTGCAACTGTTGAATATCATATAAAAGTATTTAAAAAATGAATAAAAGCAACAAGCTAAATATAAACCATACCAATTTAACTTACCTCTGAATATATGTTAAAAGCTTTTCAAAACTGTATTGCTATAAACAAGTTCGTGGTATTTCAGTTTTTATGCCATGCAATTTTAAATGTGTTGAATTAAGTAATTGTTGTTTGAAAAGTACCAGAGTAGATATATAGTTCATATGTAAGCAGTATAACGTACAAACAGTGTCCGAAGGTCCCGTTTGATTTAAAACTATTTTTTAATTTAATTCTACTAAGTTTATCAACATGTGAAACGTTTTACTTCGAATTCTGTTCCCATTTTGTAATGTATTTCAGTATTAACAATTGTAAATTACATTAGGCGGTATATATATATGTAACCAATTTGGCAGACGATAACTGTGGTACATTAATATATATTGAAACAAAGTAAAACACTTTCTTGTTCCTATTATTTTCTACATGTACGCATATACATATAATCCAATGTATTGCAACACACTGTTGACAACAAATTTTGCAAATACTTACTGTATATTCCCCAGGTTTTATTGGCCATTTTTCTCTATCCAGGATAAGTTGAGAATCAAAAGGAGGCTGTGGTGTTTTAGGCGGAGCCATCTGTTGACCTTTAATATCTCTGTCTGTTGCTTTGTCAAAGCGTTCCCCGTGAACTGTTAAAAACAAAAAGTTTTATCAATACAACACACTAAAGAGTAAAACATACTGAACAATCGCGTTGAAACTGAATACAAACCAAAAAAAAAATTTTAAATAGAATTTTCACACGATATGTATGACGTACATGAATCAGAGACATATGTCTCTGCATGAATCAAGATGACAATATTTGTTAATACGATATATACATTTACCCCTTTCATATCGTATTTATAAATATTGTCATCTTGATACATGTCTATACAATCCTACAAAATTAAACTAAGACGGAATAACCTTGTATTATCAATTGAACTTGCTCTTTAAATCATGAATTTTTATAAATTAGAATATAGTACTTGAAATCTATATATAAATCACAAGAAAATTCTTCGAAATCAAAGTCGTCTAAACTAAGACAAAAGTTTCATGTTTTAAATTGATATATGTTAGTCGTTTTTGTATTTTGACACTTGAATTTGAAAGAAACAATTAAAATAAACTGCGTTTGATCAGTATTAAACCTTTGTTCTACATAGAGAAACTCGATGTAACTTTATTTGTATTGCCTTACTTATATCAAGTCTTTCTGAATGGAATTTCAAGTTGTATGGATCTTTGTCATATTTCGATAAAAATTCTGACAGACCAAGTTTTTTCAGTGGAGGATACTGCAAAAAACAAATAATACACAATTAATATGAAGCCAAAATAGCAATGGAATGATATATCGTTACAACTTATAAATATATAATGCATGATGTTGAATTTAGAAGCAATTAAAAACAACGATATTTTGTTATAGTAGTACAAACATGTTTAACCCCGCTACATTCTTTATGTAACTGTCCCAAGTCAGGAGCCTGTAGTTCAGTGGTTGTCGTTGGTTCATGTCTGTTGTATTTGATTTTCATAAATTGTTTTGTTATAAATTAGGCCGTTAGTTTTCTCATTTGAATTGTTTTCATATTTTTTATGTCGGGGCCTTTTACAGCCGACTATACGGTATGGGTTTTTCTCGTTGTTGCTTATAATTGCTTACATCCACTTTATTTGAACTTTGGTGGATATTTGTACCATTGGCAATCACACCACATCTTCTTATTTTTATATTAATGGTTTTGACTTTAGTGCATGTGAAAGTGAAGGCAGAGTTACGTTTCCAGATTATGGATGTCGTATGGTTTGATGTGTCATCGTGTTGCCGTTTAATTGATGTATACTTACTCCTCCTTTTATTCATTTTAAACTATAAGCTAAAAGGCAAAATAACTCACAATTATAGGATTATGAAAAAAAATGTCGACACTGAAACTAATATAAATGCAATTAGATGTAGCAAATCACACACAACAGTCAAAACATAAAACCAAAGGCCGTAACAAACGTTGCAAAATACAGTGTAACTGGATAAAATAAAACTGTCAACAGATCATCGGCTCCCCGAACCGCACACACGTCAGGTATATAAAAACCAAAATTGTTACCAATCATTTCTTCAGAGCCTCACGATACAGAAAAGAACCTATTTTAGGGCACCCACTTTAAACAAATTGAGCAAGTATGGGAGAAAATGGCAAAAACAAATTGCTAAAATTACAAAAATTAAGTTTACATTTTACGGAAAGTATTTTTTCCAAAAGTTGCAAATTTCAGGAACAGTGACCTTTAACTTTTTCCTATTGGCTCCAAAATAGATATACGTCTTCGACTTCCCAATAAATTTCATCTGTTCAAGATTCATTATAATCAAGCAAGGGAAATAAAGTTAAAATCTGGAAAATATTTTGTTCATAAAAGTTTCTTTTTCTAGTAAAAGTCTCCTTGAACTTGGTTCTGTTGACTCCAATTCAATAGGCGTCTTCCTCTTTTCCTATATTTTTCACTTATTTATTTCAATCAATCAAAGGAAATTTACGTTACAATCCGGAAACATTTTTCAGTAACAGTGACCTTGATTTTGTCAAATTGAATCTAAATCATTAGGTGACTTCCTTTTCCTTATATTTTCCATCTTTATAAATTGTATTCCAATTAGGCAAAGAGAACTCACGTAACAATCCAGAAACTATTTAAAAAAAAAATATTTTGGAACAGTAACCTTTAACTTTGACCTATTGAACAAAATATCAATAGGCGTCTTTCCCTTTCCTATTTTATTCCTATAAATCGGATGGAAGGACGGACAGACGGAAGCGATTTTTTTTTCAACAGTGCTATAATTTTTTAAAGTATTTGCCACTGCGTTAAATGAAAAAAAAATCCATCAATCTATATGTCTTAAACAAAAAATAATCACAAGAGAGAGCGAGAGAAATTTAAGCTATACGACAACATAAACTCCACACACGAGTACTATTAAAATCGTAAACTTTTCAAACATACCCCTCTAAAATCATGTTCTCTTATATCTGCAAACGGTCCAGGGTTGTACATTCCCTCTGTTACAAACTTTTTCTTTGCTGTAAATGGTCTCATTATCCTCCCTGTTGTCACAAATCTTGTTCTGTCTTCCTTTAATGGAAGTAGAATGTGGGGAATTACTTTTTGACGTTCGCGTTTTATAATCTCTCTTTGTCCTGGTATTGTTCCATAGTTCCAAGGTTGCATAGATTCACGAGAATTACGTTTTGGAGGTTTAGGAGCAAATATTTGAGGTCTAAAATCCGGAGGTGGCCGTTTCCATATATTATTGTCTTTAATAGGTTCTTTTGGTTCATAGTTTTCACTTCGTATTTGAATAAGAGTCTCGTTTGCGTCATATTGCGTTTTAGAATGGAATCCGAATGGAACAATTCCAAGCGAACTTGCTGCACTTCCGAGTCTCTCTGGACTAGTTCTAGACTGGCAATCTGACTGACTCATATTGAACCCTTGAAATATTCTGAAAACGAAAACATATAATTCAATAATTTAATAAATATGATTTTTAAAAGAAAAATTCGCAAGGGGTTCCGTGGAACCCTGTGTCTCGCCTACGATTGCTGCTGTCAGTGTAAAAGTGTAATGTTGACTTAAAAAGTGAGTCCATTTATCAGTATAATAAGAAATTAAAAAAAAATCAAACTTTCTCTTTAGACGCTACTTCTTGGTCTTGAAGATTAGCTTCTGTCCAAGTTTCATAACAATCCACGAAGGTTAACAAACTTATCATGTCAACAAAATTTACAGTTAACATTTACAGACAGTCCATCTATCAGAAAAAATACTTAAACAGACAAAAAAAAATGGAAATTTACAACCACTGACAGGCTGGTGACTGGATTAACAGGGATTCAGATGAAGGTGTTAATATTTTTGTTTTACTACTTTTATTGCTTTGATCCATGCTAAAAAAGTACAATATATCAACATTAGTTAGAATCGACAACTTCAACACAAGTGATGAGGAAAGTCCTTACAGTGTCAACAAAGCATTCATACTCTCTTATTCTTTACTACTCCAGAATCAATGATTTCTTATCAAAACTTCACAAAACGGTCGAGTGATAAATTATATGGTCTTGTGTGCATTACCAAGTACTAAAATTAGTAATTAAAGAAGTGACTTTAAACATGAAACTGAGAAAGAAGTATTATTGTAACAGTTGATGAAAAACGTAGTTTGGGTGATACATATTCCAGATAGCGCATAGTTGGCAAGATATGCATATATGGATATACATTTGGTAATTAAAACTGTAAAAGATTAATCATCTAACCTTTCTATAACATTGCTGTTAATGATATTTATCTATGGTTTTCAAATTCAATCATTTAACATGAAGCTTTTCATTTCTTTAGAGCGGTAGATTTAAATTGACAAATGATAAATGGATTTTCGATATTTAGGTATAAAAAACTTAATGAAATATTGTCTGTAATTTGGCGACAAATTTAAAAACATTTATAAAGGTTTTAGCTTTTAAAGCCTCCCGTAGACAAAAATCAATGTGGTATTGATATTAGATCGGTGACGTTCACGGTGTACTAAGTAACCATATACAGTAATTGGTATCAAGATAGAGGTTTATATGCCGTAGATTTTTGTTTGATTTTAAATACCTTGACTTTTATGGTATTCTTAAGTATTTACCTAATGCATAAATGTTTTAATAAGATTTAGCTGTTAAATTTTAGTAGATAATGTAATTTCTCAAATACTAACATATCTACCGACTTTTTAATGGTCTGAGATCTAATCTGTAAGTTGGTTGCAAACATTGACAATGACTATGTTCAACGATATAAAAATGTTATTGAAAAAGACATAGGGAAAGGGCAGAGACAAATGGACCGACTTTTATTCATTTGCCACTAGGACTGAGTAAGTTCAGAGTAAGGGTATTTTGCTCAGAGTATGGGTATTTATAGACCGAATTCTTCCCTTTTTACATTGCAGATATTTCCTGATATTCGTTTGCTTTTTACTTTGTAACTTTTTTCTATTTATTTCTCATTTTTTCAATATCAAAATTGCCAAAAAATAAATAGATAGAAAAAAAGCCAAACGAAGATTAGGAAATATCTTCAATATAGGGACAGAAGAATTCGGTCTAAGGTGTTTACAAACTAAGGTATCAAATGTAGGCAAAACAAAGTTTAACTCGGTGTTTCAGGTAAAGTGTCTTTAATAAGGCCTTCTGGAGCTCAAACAATGTGGTTTCTCCTTTCGTCATCGTCAACATGGGTCTCCAACCTACCGAAAAATAGTATTCTCTCTGTTTGTTAAGGCTTATAATTACCACATCTGAATTCCCAATTAATTTGTAGAACGTAGAAAATCGAATGTTAGAGAATAAAATGTCAAATCTTAATCAAATTTACACTTCAAAGTAATATATTATTGCTATCATTTACATCATTTAACAGTTATACTTATATATCTCTGTATCGTTTATAGTGTCTTGCTACTCATTATATTTTCGCTATAAAATAATCATAGGTTAATACTAGTACTTGATTTGAGGAGCAGCTATAGCGAATCGTATATTTGTAAAATTCTTTATTGGACTTTTGTGGAAAAGTTTTTCGATTTTTAATTTCTGATTCTGTATTTGTTTGAACATATGTCGTGTACACAAAACTGTAAGTAACAGTTTGCACGACGAAGATGTATCAAACAGATTGTATCATGGTGAGATGTTTATCATTATAATTTCCAAAGAAGGCATTTAAACGAGAAGTGTCAATTAAAATGTGTATATAAAAGTGTATTGTAAATAATTTGTTTACTTTAAATTACTAGTACTTGTATGTTAACTTGCCAGAAGAATTAAAACTAGTAATATATAAAAATGATAACAGGAGTTACCAAAAACATTAAGAGTACTGCAGACCATAAAAACATTTAGAGTACTGCAGACCATAAAAACTATTGAAACCAGACTCCGAAATATCTATTCACATTTAAAAATATCAAAAAATATCATTTCGATTATCAGTATATCAGAAGTCCATATTTAAAAAGAAAATTTATTTTGAAACTTACTAAAGAAGAACAAATAGTATTAAAAGGGTATGGAATCTGGGACTATTATATAATAGTCCCAGATGGAATATACTCTTTTATGGCAAAACGCAAGTCAGATGTTGAAGAGAGCTCACCTTTCAGGGTGGAAACCTTATAGTAAACAAATATCTTACCGGTTAATTAAATCACTATTATTATATCCTTTATATTTATGTAAAGTAACTTTGTAAACATTATATGTTTATACGGCTAATTTTCACATTTTCATATTACAAAGAACTACCGGAAATCGGACATGTTGCTAAGGAAAGGACGCCTTTAGTGTAACAAAAACCCATGCGCAGTCTGTAGAGTTAATCCTCCGTAACGTTTTTCAGTTTAAATTATTTCAATTGAATATGTACAAATGAATTGACTGAACGATTTAAATTTATCCCACAATTATCGGATTTTTAAATAACATATAAACATGTTCCTTTTAAACCCAGATATATTATTGATTAGTTATATCCATATCTTTCTTTTTGACTGATTATGTCATTTTCTAATTAATCAATTAATTAATTAACTATTGAGCTGATTAGTCTGCTATGATTATATATTAATACTTATAGTAATACCCGTTATAATATAGCCCATAGAGATTCTATAACGTACCCATACAGATACAGTTTTCTTTTTGCTTGGATCGGTATTTTGGAAGATGTAGCAAAGCAGAGTGCGATTCTGTCATAAGTGGTTTCATACAGACGATTTTGGACTGCAGCGATACATTTCTTCCATGCTCCTACTAAACACCCGACGACGAATAAAAGATTTGGACCTCTGACTTGTGCAGTTCTAATTTTGGAAAGAAAAGCATCCTCTACTGTTTCATTTCAAACATCTTGATACAATTAAAAATGGCCAACAACGCCTCTAAACACAGCGTAGTACAAAAAAAAAATAAAACTAATGAAATATACCGAATTTCGTCAAATGGCAAGAAACAAAATCAATTACTTTGAATTGTGAACTATACTGACCCTGCAATCTGTGATTCTTTTCACGATCCCGGTTGCAGCTCTGCTGTGGAAGTGACAGCCATAATTACAAAAGGACTAGTGATTTATAATCTAGTATTCTATAAAAAGTATAGTAAGAGAGGCGACCGTGTGATGTGAGGTTGTCTAAATCTTAAACTTGACACTTTTGCATATTATTATATGAAGGATAATGATAAATATATTCGAAACACATAGTGATCATCGAACTTTGAAGGATAAGGATTCATTATATTTTATTTTACTGCTGTTTGTCTTTTCATCATTTTATCTTTTGCATGTCCATGAGGTCTTCGGTTTTTCTTCTCGACTTATGATTTGGACTGCCCTTTGGTAGTTCATCCCTTTTTCATGTATAACCTTTCAAACACAAATAATTCATTTTTGGCTCTGAATGTCCTTAAATACAAAATTTTACAAAACCTTTAAAATTTGCAATATATTATTAAAGTGTCTTATTAAAATTTATAAAACAATACTACTGGTATAGACCGAGCATATATAAACTGATACAGTTGTTTACTCTACAAAATGTTAAGCAGTTGACTTTTTTATTATTATTATTATTATCCTGGCTTTTAAAATGAGGGACAGTATTTTACAAAATAATTAACATTCTCTGTCTACATGTTTTATTGCAATTATAATATGTTATTTCTTGTTTACACCGATAAGCTGTAAAGCTTAAGGTAATAAAGTAAATATATCAAGTTTCCTTCAACGTCAATGTTTATTGCAAAGTAATATTTGTATTTTAAGGATATTTGTTAAAATTTTGGATAATCTTTTGAATATATTAGATATATTCAACACCCATATCCACTAGGTTGCACAAACTCTCTAAAAGGATCAGCCTTAACTCTTTTACGAAATCAGTAAAATGTTCAGAATTTACAGCCTATTATTGAGAATGACATGAAACTTTTTTGTTCACACTTACATGGATTCACCTTTTTCTAGTAGCGTTTGCAAAACGAAATAAATAAGGAAGGGGAAATATCGGTTGCATTTTTGCTACCAAAAAAATCGAACACGTACAGATATCAATTTTGTGTGTGCTTATTTAGATTTGAGCGTCTAGTTGTATCTCTATTTCTCTGCAAACCAAATTACATTGGTATATAGATTCTTAAAATATATCATATTCCCAGACATACAAAACTAAAACAGAGACAAATATATTAAAATTACAGTAGAGGTTATACTAGAAAGGTAAAGTACATGGCTTAATCCTTATAAATTTACACAAGTTGTTGTGATCAGATAGACTTTTCCTGTTCATAAATTCTTGTAGGACTAAAACAATCGAATGACTGTTTCTTCAAACAATATATTAGGATTACAGAGAATAAAGAATATCAGCGTATATGGTCTTCGGAACTTCGGACAAAAGAATCGTTTGTAATATCGAATGATATTGGTGTACATATAAGAGTCAACGAAAAACACAAATTAAAATCTTGAGGCCAACTTTTATTCCGTCCAATTCAAAAGAAACCGCCAAATAAAGTTGTCGTTCCGGTTACTTAAGCCGAAACAGGACATAACACATGACCCCGTGTTTATGACACACAAGATTTAATACACCTATTTATTATGAAATATAGAACGTAAATACACAAGTAAGACAGTGGCCATTCTTTGTCTCAATTCTTAGTACCAAGAAAAGCGGAATTAATACAGATTTCCACAACTACGTATATATAACAATTTGTTATTTATCTTGAACTTGGTAAGTATAACATATATATATATATATTCAAACAAACATAGAAAATATATGCATTAGATTAAAGTGAAAGTGAAAAAGGTCATACAATTTCGAATGTTATGGGTCCCCATCTTAATGAGAGTTTGAAACATAAATATGTACAAAAAGGTCTTCATTAAAATCTTGATTCTTTTTTTTTGTGTAATCTGTTTTTTCACACGGGGGTCTTTGACGGAAGTATTTAGGACTTGAAGGCTTCCTTTTATAATTTTATTGGACGGATCCTAATGAAACCTACATGTTATGTAATTATTAGTATATACCTTTTTTTTTCGTTTGTCTGACACGACTATCAGTAACTCAACCACCATGCAGAGACCAAAAGACGAGGGTGTATAAAACTACGGGTCACCGTACGGTATTCAACAAAGATAAACAAATTTAAAAAAGGCAGTGGGCTATTTTGCCGGCTCCGGCAAAATAGCCTCTTAGGTGCTATTTTACCGGCTCTAGCAAAATAGCGATTTAAATAGAGTTTTGCCGGTCTTAATTCAGATTTTCAGCATAATAATTACGAATAGAAAGAAATGTAGAGACATACACTTTAACATGTTAATAAGAAATCTCTAAAAAAGAATAGGGTTTTTAGAATAGTTTGTTTTTGATTTGTTGTTTAGCGATAGTAAAACAAATATGTTTTATTTGTTATTTTAGGTATGTAATATTAAGCATTACATTAGAACGCGCTTGTTAGTGTAAAGTATATACCAAGTTTGGTTTAAATCGATTGAAAGATGTTGAATGACAGACAATTTCTGTGCTGCTTGTCATCTTAAATGCGTGGCGCCATTCGTAAATGTATATAGTTGCAAGATAAAAACGAAGATACATGTAATGATGAAACAACTTGACCCACCAGTGGATAAAGATTTGTGGTCTAACAAAAATATAAACAATATGTAGTCAAAAACACCAGTATCAGCCTAAGAGTACTCGCAGTCACTTAATGCTCGTTCCAGCAAAATACAACTCTTATCGTTCAACACAATTTTATCTGTAAAACAAATCATCAATTAAGAGCACGCCCCGTGAGGTGCTACTAAAAGGCGGAAACGGAAAACGGAAACAGAAAGAATTTGCATCTTTCCTTTTTGGTTGTTTATTTTCAGGCGTGCTGTGTATAGTATATCACATGTTAACAAAAAAGAAAAACAGAGGAATGAATTTAAGAAAAAAGAATTGAAAGCATAAAGTATTGAAAGAAATGGCAGGAGATGATGAGCCTATGTTTTTAAAATAATTAAGAAGGGCATGCATTTTGTACGTAATTTAATTGCGTACACAATTGTTCCATTAGTTCATTTATTTTATATTCTACTCTTGCACTTACGTCGTTCATGCGATTCACTATAGTCTGACTTTTCCGATTTCCCCAAAAAAAAATCGATATAAAAAGAGATGCGGAATAAACGTCATTGAGACAGTTACCCAACAACACAAACAAAATCTACATACGGCTTAAAACTATGGACATTCGCCTCGATTCTAGATAGGTTGTAGAGTAATTCATGTTTGGGGGAAATGCTTTTCATCATTATTTCTTTGGGTTTTTTTTTAATTTTAATTGGAAACTAGACATTTAGAAACTTGGATACACTTTATTTTTATGTAACACTTAACAAAATCCCTCACTATACAAAGCCTTTCTCTCCCGATTACAATGCTGAAATACGTTGTTGGTATTAACGTCGGAAAAGCATTACCATAAAAATTATGCTCTCCTGGATAAACGAACACTTCATTTTTGGGATCTGTGACGAAATTCTACTCATAGGTTATATTAGTTCCATTAAAATGAGGCTTTAGATGTGAGGTTGTTCCTCACAGACAATAAATGATTGGTCGACAATTAATTGGTATGTTGATTTGTTTTGAGGAGTATGCATCCGCCTGAGATTTCTCAAATAGCCTTGACGCTCCAGTGATAAAATAAGATTTTTATATTTTGCAGAGACAAGATCTTTTTTCTGAACTGATTTTATTGTACGTTCTTATTTGTACCTTTAGTTATTATATTGATCAAGATTAAAATGAAGAGGACCGGGTGGTTGAAAAGATTAATTCGCCCGCCACATGCATATATCTACTTTTCGGGGCGATTTCGATCTTGGCATATTATATAGAAAATTTGAAGAAATATGATGACCTCCAGATGTCTTATGATCTTTTTTTGTTGGGTTGCTTTTTCATTGACACATAGTCACATCTCTTGTTTATAAGTTATTTGTTAAAATTTTCAAGTATCCACATTTAATGAGACTTTACACCCTCACAATATAACTAAATGAGAAAGAATATTTGTAGATTTTTAAAAAGGCAGTTGTTTTTTTAGGCCCATCTAGAAGACTCCGTTATGTAACGCTCTTCATGTCGCAGTGAAAAAATGGACACAATTTAATTTTGAGATTTTTCGGATATTTCATAAAAGAATTTTGTAAAATATTGATTATTTTTTTTTATTGTGAAAGGTTTAAGACAAGACAAGTCATGTCTTGTCTTGTATCTATATCTATATATATATATATTTATATCTAATTAGATAAATAAGTCAGTATGTTCTATTGTTAATTGTATTTGTCACTCATTTAGAGAAATGCTTGTCAAGTCTATTCAAGTAGTTTTTGTTTTGATATAGCAGATTGGATTTAGTATTATACTGAACAGTACCAACTATCTAAATTGTATTACATGCTGAAATTATTGAATTTTATATCGAGGAAACAGAGTTGTCATTTGCAAGAGTCGGCGTAGACTCATATTATTGTTTACCGTTCCTGTGTGTGTGTGGTTGCAGGCCATTTTTTTGTTTAATTTAGGTATTCATTATAAAAAGGATAATACGACCGTATCTTCTTTTAAACAAATGAGGTAAGAATAGATTAACAATTTCCTAAGTTTCTATCTTAGTAACAGATGTGAAAATAAGATGACTATATGTATTGTTAAAGCCAACTTTTCTGAAATGAGCTTGTGGGACCCTTTCAGTATTGTTTTAGGATACTAGGCCTTAAAGCCATTAGAAGACCGACTATAACCAAAAATTTTTGAAAACGCGCAAAGAATCAGTATTAAAAATTCGACAACTTTCAGTAAGCATGGATTGACGGTGAAAATGACAATAAACAAAATTTAAGACTGCATTAAATGCTCATGTCCAATTCTGTCGTTTTGTTAAATTTTTACTGTTTTGGTCGTACTCTGAACGCTTGCTTTAATGTATACGCTATTTCAGTTTCATGCTTGTATCAGCGAATGGTGGATATTATATAAATATAGCTAAATTTATATCTTTAATATGTACACTACCTAAGCAACATTTTCAGTATTTTAGTTCTTTACTACATTTTGTTTTTACTTTTAAGGTTCAATAGTTAAGAAAATCCATACAGTATTTGAAAATGAATATTTAATAAGAAATTATATATTATAGGTTTTAAAAAGGCGAGCAAAACGATCATGTCTGTGCCCTTTTTCATTGATAAGAAACCATAACACTCTCTCAAAGTATCTTGTCCAACCACATACTTTACAGTATGAGTTCATATATATCAATCATCTAATCTAAAGCTGGTATTTGTCTTTGCTGGTAACTGCAGTAGCATACTCACCTCATTGGTTCAGCAGAATGTAGGTTCAAACTAAAGTCTATAGAATTGATATTAGTTGTTTCCCGCTACATTTTAAAAATAAGAGCAAAGAATGGTTGGCTCTTTAATGTTAATATGTCTTAGTGTAATGTTTGTCTACAACTTGTCTGTAATATAAACTCATCATCGGAGTGTTATAAACTAAGACTAAATGCCAATTAACACAATTATCATTTGTTATTTTATAGTAATATGTCTTATCCATCAGCACCACCACCTCCTTATTCCCCATCAGCACAGCAACCAGGATATCCACAGTATCCACCAGGCCAACAAGCTTATCCACAACAGCATCCACAACAGTATCCACAACAGTCTCCACAACAGTATCCATATGGACAGGGAGGAGGATATCCTCAACAACAATATGCGCAACAACCTACAACAGTTGTATATACTCAACAACCGTAAGTATTAAATACTGCGAACCAAACTATCTTAAGTAATCACTTAGCTAATTTCCATACAGTAACAACTGTTATATATCAGGTTTCGCTTCTTTCGGAGTTTGAACATTGGTACACTACTGGTTCCTAAAAAAATACACAACCCATTCGAGAAATGAGATTAAGCAGTCAGTTTAAACTTTTTAGTAGAAGTTGTTACAAGTCTATATGTACACCTATAAGTTAGCAAATTTTTTAAAGGATTTAATGGTTTAATCTATAGTATCAATTGTGAATAACAAAACAATTATTAATTAATCAAGCTTCATTCATACTTTTGTTTGACTTATTTTCTGTTTTGACATTGTTGTAGGGTTGTAGTACGTGAAAGAAGAGACAAGAGTGACGAGACATGTCTGTATGTGTTACTAGCTGCATTATGTTGTTGCTGTCTGTGTTCGGACTTCTGAGACAATAACACAAACCACGTCCAACAATTATTACATATTGTTATAATGTATAAATGACAACAAGTTTTGTTCGTGTTTATGAAAGAAAAGTAGTATTATTTGTTGTATATATCGAAGGATCTGATGAAAGCTCATACAATTTTTTTGTTTTGTTGTTATGAAAATGAGAGACAGATATAATGTGTTTATATTTTTTTTAAATTAATTTGTCATACAATAGAACTCACGAAGGTTGATTGTGTAATTTAGACAGTAAAAATTTGTATTGAAATGTTCAGTTATTTGTGAAAATGATTCAAAATTATATGTTTTATTAGATTCGAAATTATATACATATAAATATATACTTTGATTGAATATACATGACTATTATTCAATAGGTAGTATTTCCTCCCAAATAGTTTTCACTTTTCATGACAATCTAATACCAGTGTAGTAAAAAAAGAAACTATAAAAACGATTCTATATCTATACGAAATCCATAAGTTGCATTTCATCAAAACATGCTAGTTTTTACTTTAAAGTTCTTTCTTACTCATGGCACCATTTTCTTTTTTAATGAATTATTTTTTATACTAGACGTAGATGTGGACAACTTAAAACTAATGTAGATGTGGACAAATTAAAAATAATGTATATGTGGACAAATTAAAACCAAATAGCAATTATTTTATTTTGCTAGAAGTTGTATTTCTTGTTTTTTATGCTATTCGGATTATTATGTGTAAAAAGTTTACCAGTATACTTGATATAATTTAGCTGTTTACAATCAGAAACGATAAATATATTTCATAAATAGTTTGATATTTTTCATAGATATTTTCTCATTTTATTCTATAGCTTATTAAAGGAATATTTTATCTAAAAATCTGTTGCCATTGTGGAAACATAAAGAAAGGATTTCCTTTCAACTAAAACAATATGATTTTGACAGTACGATATATAAAGTCTGATAAACAGACAAAAAAGGAGCTATTGTCTTCTCCCTGAATGTAAAAGAAATAAATTCTAGAATCATTTCAAAATATTGATAATTTCATGGATGTATAGAATGATATATTATGGACACTTTAGTGCGATAATGTAAACTGTGAATCATTATATCAAAATTGCCATATTTGACCTTAGAAGACATAGTTTTTTTTACCAATTTTACCAACATCAATATATTTGTATTAGAAAAATTGAAGCAAAAACCTTTCGGATAAGGTTGTGGCTCCCATTAAATACTATGACACTATCTCAAAATGAGGCTATTTTTTGGCATTCTTTAGCAACAGTAAGAAGGATGTTTTCGATAGATTTATAATGATTTACAATTCATTTTGATTTTAGATTCCAAGGGATACAAAGGTGTCCTGCTCATGTCTTCTTTATTCCGATTCAAATTATGGCAGATGAAAATAAAGTTACATTTTCCAATTTATCATTTATTCATATTTATTGTTTATGCTTAAGATCTGTTTATATTTTCTATGTTTTACATTTTTTGTTGATTTATAATGATAAAATCATTTTGTGAGAGATCGTGAAATAAAATTTCATCTTGTTTTCATATTTCTGTTGTCCTTCGTGTATGTCTATATAAAAATAAGAAGATGTAGTATAATTGCAAATGAGACAACTCTCCACAAGACACCAAATGACACAGAAATTAACAACACTATAGGTCACCGTATATACGGCCTTCAACAATGAGCAAAGCCCATACCGCATAGTCAGCTATAAAAGACCCCGAAATGACAAATGTAAAACAATTCAAACGAGAAAACTAACGGCCTAATTTATGTACAAAATAATGAATGAATGTATAGAATGATATATTCTGGACACTTGTTTATTTCGTCAACAGAAAGGTGTTCAAAAGGAAGTCTTTCCTAAATACAAATATCGATCAAAGTGCGTGTAAATGAATATCTTTACGTCATCAGGTCACTCTGGGCTTTGACCAATGAGCAAATGCAATTGCAAGTGCCACGTGGTGAACCAAATATTAACGATTAGAATGCACTAGATATGCATTAGCCGGGACTTGATCAGACCACTGTGAAAAAAAGACATTTAGATAAAGATGGGAAGTCACATTCAAAAGTTTTTATAAAACAAAGTTTCTTGTTGATGTTAATCTTGACCTTTGACCATACAGCCTCGAAGGTTCTTTAACTTCACATGGGACCTCATCTAATTCTTAACCATAAAATGATAATTTAAACATAATTTAGAGGCAACTTAAAATAGCTTGTTCAAGAATTTTCCAGAAAATTGTTTTGATCATCATGGCCAATTTTATATGACAACTGAACACAAGAGAGTCTATACCAAATAATAGACGGTGATTCACGGTTTTAATGATTATTTGAAGAGGGCGGGGTTGTGACTACCTCAAGTGGAACATAAGCATGGTCATCAAAAACGGGCGACCAAATTATGATGGCGTCCGTAAATCTTTCGAATTTACCATTTGGAACCATTGGTTAAATAGCTTCCTTGTAAGCAGTAGTCCTCTATCAAAGACATCATGATAGAAAACGCAAGTTCTGGAATTTCATTTATCAACTTAGAGATATATACCTCTTATGCAGGCGCTGCTAAAATGTTCCTAAAAGAGAAGTGGAAAATTGATAAGTTTAAAATAGAGAGGCAAAAGATACCAAAGGTACAATCAAACTTATAAGTCGAAAATAAACTGAAAACGCCATGGCTAAAAACGAAAGGACCAAAAGACAAACAATAGTATACTAAACACAAGTGTCAACATAGAAAACTAAAGACTGAGCAACACGAACCCCACCAAAAACCGGGGATGTTTTATATCATATCTTGTGTCCTAAAGTTTATATCTCAACAGATCCTCATTGTCCATTTCTAGATGTAAGATAAGATATACGGCAAACTTAACTGTATCTGTGATTATCATTTATCTCAAGTCCAATCAAATATATGCGATCCACATAGTCACCAAACTTTTGATTATTCATTGAAAGTACACCATCGTCATAGCGGAACGTGAAGTTAAAGAAAAAAGCCTGTTTCTTATTCTTTATTCTTGATTATTTGAACCTCTATTCTCATAAACTAAATACAAAGTTACAGAGAATAGTTCATATATGTCGATAGACTAACTACGTGCATGTGTGAAGTTCTAAATTATACAGGTTTCCTAAAAGGGCCGACTTTCACCTTAATGATTTTAATTTGTAAAATTGAATAAAAATTAGAATTGTATGTATTTGGAATGTGTCCTCAAATAATCAGATAAAAAGGTATATCTGCTTCTATTATTTCACAGGTCATAATGCTTATATAGTCGTCACCAATGTCATTCGAGTCACGAAGACGGCATACTCTATCGCCTCTTGGAAATCATGCCATCTTCATGTCTCAACTGGCAATTGTTGACTACAAAATCTAAATTTGCACAAAGTTTTTCAATGGTTAATTGGCGAAATATTAAAATATTTCTACAACTAAATTTTTTTCTTACAAATTCTGTAGAATAGACGTTTTTGTGAAGCATCTTTATCTGACAAACATAACGTTTATCAATTTGTCATAAATCAGGCCGTTGGTTTTTCCGTTTGAATTGTTTCACATTTTGTCATGTCAGGGCCTTTTATATGTGACTATACGGTATAGGTATTACTCATGGTTAAAAGCCAAACAGCGACATTCACGTCATTTTGACTTGTGTGGAAGTTGTCTTACTGGCAATTACACCACATCTTATTTTTTATAAAACTTTTTATGTGGGTCTCCTGTACAAATTATCCTAAAAAAAATACAGAAATAAGTCGACTAGAAGAGAAGCACGGATAGTTCCCACAGCAATGTGAATGTCTTATGAAAAAAAAAACGACCTCGATACGTTACAAATATGTTATCGATGATTAAGTAAGTTTCAGAGAACTTTTGGTTTGAACCAGAGTGCATGAAAGTATGACCCTTCCAAAAGATATACGTATCTGCGTTTGCTATTTTTTTTTGTATTAATCAAATTTTGTCTAATCATTTGAACATGTTACGGAGAACTACTCAGTCCGCGCACACATATGTATATATCATACGTGAATGTCTCTTCACAGAGGACGATGAAAAATGGTTAAAGTACTAGTATAATAAACATCCAATTTTGGGTGAATCATCTTCAATAAGATTATAATTAGTATGAGGTCCATGTATTGTACAAAATAAGTTATTGGTAATTTGTACAACAAACAAATCCAAGACATCTGTAATTTGCAATTATAAAGAAAGGGTGACAATCAGCGTTATTTGGATTCCGCTCTATGATTTTCATCGAAATTAATAAATCATATATTATAGTTTTAAAAACAAAACAATACAATACAGCTTTATTCATAATGAAACAAATATCTATCATACCAAAAATAAGAGTAAGCAGATATATATAGTGTTTGTCATTTATCTGATCTGTGTGGTACACGAAGAAAGGCTCTATATTTCGAAGATAGTATACATTCTGAATTTAATCTAAATTCATATCAATATAACTACTGATACAATATATGTTTTTTTTATATTTCTTGCTTATGATCATATTTAAGAAAGACTCATCCTTAATCAAATACTCTGAATAAAGTAAAGTTCAAGTATTATCCATGTAAAGTTATTGCAATATTCTTAAATAACAAATATTATCCGATTACAAATGTTTCTACATCAGTCTAACATATCACAGAGACAACAACAGCAAAGAACGGCTAGTAAAGCATACAGACACGACTGACAGCCATCTTTTTTCTTATCCCTGTCATGTACCACTACTCTGTAATAAAACAAGATATCATAATTAAAAGTATGACCATTATGTCCCATATATATCATATGTAGAGATTGTAATTTACCAACTGAAATTTATAGACAAGCACTTGGTCCTCTTGTTTTAATAAAAACAAACTTCCCTGTAAAGAGTGATAGGCATGGATGGTGATACGTAACATCTGGTTACATACAAAATGTTTCTGCTGCCCGAAGACTGTGTTGGGATTTTGGCTAAGTGAAATATGTTGGGGAGTTCAAAGCGTTCTTTATTGGTCCCGGAACAATTGTTACAACAATGCGTATGGTCAACCAAAATGTATTTGTTAAAAATCATGTTGGTGCTAATTAACCACAGTCACTTGTCCCTCAAATTTGATCCGTACATACCTTAATATAACACTATATTAAGGAATATAGGAATTTTTGTCAGAGACAAGTGGCTGTGACAAGTGATATTAACGTGAAGATAGCAGTAACAACGTACGTCCTCGGTATAATCAAGTTCTTTGTCTCTCCTTAAGACGCCTTTCAACAAATTTGTAATCAAATATTCTAAGTAAGAGTATCGATGAGGTCTGTCGGAGACTTATTGAGAGTACGACTATAATTTGCCACCTTTCTAAACTGTTTGGTTAATCAAAATAAATTTGAATAAATATGGTGTATCAATCTGGTTATAAAATAAGCCACGACTGTGATAAATAGTCATTTTTGCCTGAGTTAGGCAGAACTTTAAAACAAAGGTTTTTGCATGTGATTAACATATACAATTATATGTTTTAATTCATATCGTAACTTACGTTTGTGGTTGCTGTGCATAATATGGCTGAGGATACGGTTGCTGTGGATATCCACCGCCTTGTCCATATGGATAGGATGGCTGTGGGGGACCATATCCTGGACATCCGTAACTCTGGGAGTTTGGATTATAAGGAGGTTGACCATATTGTCCATATGACATTGTTCTATAAGTATATATTCAATTCAAAATCTGTCGAAGAGTTATTATGTTTGCTGAAGTAATTTCTAAAAATAGATTTTACAGAGATGCGGTAACATTTCTGTTAAAAAGAGTATTTGCATGAAGATAAGGAATAACAAATATACTTAAATAATTCGGATGTAAGCTAGCTGCTGTATTCAAGTTGATTATATGCCTCAAATCAGTTTTGGAATATTTAAGAATCAACCAATTTTTCTGTTCGTTTGTCTTTTTATTTTCCGTACTTCTGCTCATAAGCTCCGCAAGTACAATTCATGCAACGCATCATCTATCCTATCGAACTTGAAATAAAGAAGCCAACAGAAACAGTTAAGTCTGCCTAAAATCTTGACTTGCATCAATAAATTGGAAATGAGGGTCCGTCAAGAAAAACCTTTACGAGAAAAGAGATGATTTCAGCTTCCAATTCTGAGCTTTTCATTTCTGTGAAGCATCATTCCAGCAGCATTTGCATATGGAGTATATATATATATCTCCCATTTGTTTTCAATTTAAACTTATTTATATCTCCCAGTTGATACTATATTCCAGAGCTTGCATTTTCTAGCATGGTTTCCTTAATAGAGGATTGCTGCTTACAGGGCAGCTATTAAACCAAGAGTTTCAAGTGGTGAAATTGAAGTCATCCATTCAAAAATTTTACAAACGCCATAACGAGTTGGTTGACCGTTAAGGAATATCTGTTTCACAGATACGACGGATGTGTTCCAATTATCGTAACCGCAATCCCGATCTCTTTTCCTCGAATGTGACCTACCGAATTAGACTTATCACCGGGTTTGTACTAGCATGAGTAATACGACGGGTGCCACATGTGAAGCAGGATCTGCTTACCCTTCCATCCTTAGTCACATGCACATGAGATCACCCCCGGTTTTTTGGTGGTGTTCGAGTTGATCAGTCTTTAGTTTTCTATGTTGTGTTTTGTAGACTGTTGTTTGTCTTTTGGTCGTTTTTTGTTTTTTTGCCATGGCATTGTCAGTTTGTTTTCGATTTATGAGTCTTGACTGTCCCTTCGGTTTCTTTCGCCTCTCTTTTATAGGTTTTGATGAACGTAAACATTGAAAGTTTTGAACTTTGACAATGTCGTGTTTTTCTCTGACTGTTAATGACGTTCTTACACTAAATCCATTGGATGTTGGATGTGTACTGATAGATATTTTAGTTTAAAATACATTATTTTTTTATTAGTTGTTATTGACTTTGAACTAGCTGTCAGTAACTGCAAGTACTCTCAGATCTGTACTTAGTATCTGTTTTGTTGTGGGGATGTATAAATATCCTACCACGCCCGGTCTGTGTTTTTTAACTTGTTTTTCTGCTTTGTATCGGTTTGATGAGTAAGGCCCTTTTCAACTGATTTTTATAGTTTGTTCATATGTTGTGGTAGTTATACCAGTGTCACAGCACAACATATGAACAAACTCTAAAAAGTTTAGGGGAGAGTTGGACGCTCGCAAACATCTATAACCCCGCTACATTCTGTATGTGCCTGTCCCAAGTCAGGAGCCTGTAATTTAGTGGTTGTCGTTTGTTGGTGTATATCATATTTGTTTTTCGCTTATTGTTTTGTACATAAATCAGGCCGTTGGTTTTCTCGTTTGAAATAATTTACATTTGTCATTTCGGGGCCTTTTACGATGACCTATAGTTGATTTGGTCTCTGGTGGAGAGTTGTCTCATTGGCAATCATACCACATTTTCATATTTTTATATTTATGAAGAGCTACATGAAAGAACATTAATTGGGAATGTTAAGTTAAAGTATAGATTTGAATAGTTTTTATACGACCGCAAAAATTTTGCACTCGTATATTGGTATGACGTTGGCGTCGTCGTCGTCGTCTTCGTCGTCGTCCGAAGACACATTGGTTTTCGCACTCTAACTTTAGTTTAAGTGAATGGATCTCTATGAAATTTTACCATAAGGTTCAATATCACAAAAGGAAGGTGGAGATTGATTTTGGTGGTTATGGTACCAATAGTTAAGGAATTAGGGGCCAAAAAGGGGCCAAAAATAAGCATTTTTGTAACTTCCAGACATAACTTGTGTGTTAGTGTATGGATCTCTCTGACATTGTACCACAAGGTTCCATATCACAAAGAAAATGCTGGGATTGATTTTGGGGGTAATTGCCTCCAAATTTTAGGAATTAGGGGCCAAAAAGGGGCAAAAAACAAGCATTTTTCTAGTTTCATGACAATAACTTGTGTGCAAGTGTATGGATCTTTCTGAAAATGTACTACAAGGTTCCATATCACAAAGGGAAAGCTGGAATTGAGTTTGGGGGTAATTGCCCTAAACGTTTAGGACTTTTGGGCCAAAAAGAGGCCAAAAAACAAGCATTTTTCTAGTTTCCAGACAATAACTTGTGTTCAAGTGTATGGATCTCTCTGAAATTGTACTGCAAGGTACCATACCACAAAGGGAAGGCTGGTATTGAGTTTGGGGGTGATGAATCATAAGGGGTTAAAAAAATTTGGGAGTGGATTTTTTTTCCCCTTTTTTTTCTTTAAAATTTTCCATTTTAAATTGGTTATTTCTGAATTATATATAAAAGCAAATAATAATGATATGGTTTGAATAGGTAAATTAAAATTTTTTGAGTTCTTAGACCACATTCATTCTGTGTCAGAAACATATGCTGTATCAAATATTTAATTACAATCAAAATTCAGTGCTGTATCAAGCTTGAATGTTGTGTCCATACTTGCCCCAACTGTTCAGGGTTCGACCTCTGCGGTCGTATCAAGCTGCGCCCAGCGGAGCATTTTATTACCTTTACTACCATAAAGCAGTAGAACAATTCGTAACATTAAGTTCTCTGAGAAAATCTGATTGATTTCAATAAAACTTAATATGATTTTGTTCAAATGATCACGAGCGTACAAAATTTTAATCTGATAAATAGTAATATGGACCTTACCAATGTTTTATTGGAGATTACTACACTTTCTGCTGCCCTATATATAAAAAAGTAAATGTGGTATGACTGCCAATGAGACAAATATCCACCAGAGACCAAAGGACGGGGATGTAGACAACCACAGATCGCCATACGACCTTCAACAATAGGCAAAACCCATTCCTTATAGTAAGCTATAAAACGCCCCTGGGTGTCACAAAATGGGAAACAATGAAAAAAGAGAAAAGCAACGGCCTGATTTATGCAAAAACAACAAATAAAAAACAACCACTGGATTACAGGCTTATTGTTTGGAACAGGCATATAAAGAAGGTGACGGTGTTTTTGAGCGCCGAACAATCCCCTAACCTGGCAAAGTGGGGTTACAGCACATCGTAAGACGCAATAATTATTGTAAAAATCAGCAAGCTTTAATATTTCATATTATCGGTACTGAGCCCAAAAACAACTAACAAAAAGACAAGAGATATACATATCGAGTTTAGAGTACTTGTAGTTACTGAAAGTTATTTCAAAGCCCAAACATATCAACCAGTCTCTATTTACGTGCAGTATTAATTCGTTTTTATTTAAAACTAAAAAACAGAGGTAATTAAAACAAAGAGTGAGAAACTTCCTGTTGAAAAAAAGTGCAAAAACACTTGTTCCAAGTGCCTTTTTGTTCAATTCTAATCTAAAATTTACTGAAAACAATATGAAAACTCTTGATAAAAAATGCTTATTTAAGAAAAACAAGCACAACACAAGGAAGCTATCTCTGTTTTAACCTATATTGTTTTTATGAAAACATTTCCCTGTTGTCAGAATTATACATGTACTTCTATACACATGATTTTTTCTTCTTGATACCGGAACGTTATCCTTATACAGTTTTTGACAAAATATAATTTTAGATCTGATACTTATTGCATGAGTGAGAATTCTTTGTATCATAAACAATAGAGAAAACCAGGTTCTGTGAAGAATTTAATTAAAAAATAAATGGGGAATGTGTCCATGGGACACAGATGATGCCTCCGCTTGCATATCATATAAAGTTATAAAGGGACAAAACTGAAGAACGTTAAAAGAGACTCTACCCAAATTTGTACTTGATCTGAGTTTTGTGGTAATAAGTATTGTGTATAAGTTTCATAACATTTGGTTGAGGCAAACTTAAGTTAGAGAACAGAAAAGAAAAATTCAGCAATTTTTCCATTTGTAAAGGGGCATAACTCTAGAACAGTACAAGTGATACCACCAAAATTCCATCTTGATCTGTATTTTGTGGTAATAAGCATTGTGTATAAGTTTCATAACATTAGGTTAAGGCAAACTAATTTAAAAGTTAGAGAAAGGAAACAAAAAATTAAGCAATTTTTCCATTTGTAAAGGGGCATAACTCTAGAACGGTTAAAGTGACACCACCAAAATTCCATCTTGATCTGTATTTTGTGGTAATAAGCATTGTGTATAAGTTTCATAACATTTGGTTAAGGCAAACTAATTTAAAAGTTAGAGAAAGGAAACAAAAAATTAAGCAATTTTTCCATTTGTAAAGTGGCATAACTCTAGAACGGTTAAAGTGACACCACCAAAATTCTAACTTGATCTGTGTTTTGTGGTAATAAGCATTGTGTATAAGTTTCATAACATTTGGTTGAGGCAAACTAAAGTTAGAGAACGGAAACAAAAATATCAGCAATTTTTCCATTTGTAAAGGAGCATAACTCTAGAACGGTTTAAGTGACGCCACCAAAATTCAATCTTGATCTGTGTTTTGTGGTAATAAGCATTTTGTATAAGTTTCATAATATTTGGTTGAAGCAAACTAAAGTTAGAGAACGGAAACCAATTTTGAGACGTACGGACGGACGTACGTACAGACGGACAAGGGTAAGACTTTTAATGCCCCCTCCGCTACGGCTTTGTATATAGTTAGCTACGATTACTTATAACTTGGTTATTGAAACTGTTTTCAGGAAAATATAATAGGCAATCGATTAGTAATTGCTGCACCCTGTTGTACTTGTTTTTTTTTGTGTTTTCTGTCATTATCATAAGTTAAAACAATATTTGAAGCTAACATCTTTCAAAATCTTGGATCGTTCATCTTTTACCTTTGATCCTGATTTGACAGATATCGCACGATGCTACTTTTAGAAAATTGGACAAAATAGTAAGATGATTAAAACCTGAATAATACGACCATCGACACTTTTATCAATGAATCGTCAGCTTCATGTGTTTACCTGTACCGTACCAATTATTGTTGTAGTAGTTTATATTAGTGGGCGTTGTGATATGTATTGATGTTCATGCCATAGGTTATTTGTCATAAATAAGTCTTGTCCCTTTATGAAAAGTTTACTGGTTCGTTAAGGTTTAAACATTTGTAGCAATGCACCTTCATCGTCCGAATAAATAAAATATCAATAATGTTATAATTCTGCAATATGCATACGAATTATAAAAAAAAATTTCTACGAATAACAACGATCAATCTATATAAACAGATGCCTAAATAACGTCAACATTTAGACATTTTTGGCGAAAAACTCGGATGTTTAGCGCCACATAACAAACCACTTCTCGCTAGCTTTAAAGTTAATTCATATTTAAAGTAAATCAAACATAAAAAATGATTCGATAAAAGGAATCGCGCTTATTTCTTGGTTACTCCTATAAAACATATTTTTACCAGTCGCTTGTCATTTTTGATTTTTGTCTTAAATTTCTTGTGCCCACGGTGTCATATCATCTTCTAGATGTCCGAGGCAGAATCGGAATTCATTTGGAAATATAAACTGACTACACACCATATTACGGGCTATAGGTTAGGCAGATACCATAGGATCTGTGTTCCCGATTGTTACTATAAACAATTGTTTTGGCTATCGTGCAGATTTTGATCTGTGTTACCTATTGTATCTGCCGTAACGAAAGACGGTAATAGGGTGTGGATCATGGTATAGACTTTGGTAAATATAAAAATGGGAACAAAAATCAAGTACCTTACAAAGGAATAAACAGAGCATTGATTTGAATACAATTAAGAATAGAAAATAATAGCGAATTATTTCAATAAATAGTAAATCTTACCTGTTTATTTATCTGCGTATATATGAAATGATTCAGCTATTAATGATGTTCTCAGTAAACATCATGTGCAACATAAAACGTAGATATGTAATTGCTGCAAGGCCGAGGATGGCGAGGGGCACTTATCATTGGCTTAAGAATTGTCAATAGAAAATGATGTTTTCGACATTTCCTTATCTTGTGTACGTTCAAACTGTATATGTTGTATGCAAAGCGTTTACCGTGTAAGTCACATATATAAAATTTTGATCTGTAACTTGTAACTCATTTCGATGCCAACATCTTTCAATGAATTTCAGATAACAGTTAATTATGCTTCGCGCGACGCGTTGCGGGGACATAAAAGTACCGGGCGTCCGTCCGTCTGTCCGTCTTTATAAGTCTCATGTGTACAATTCTTGCCAGACTTTTATGAAATTTATATCATAGGTTTATATCAGCAATGTCTTGGACAAATTTAAAAATCAGTGCCAAACATCTATTTTTAGAAGAGCTATGCCCCTTTGAAATATAAATTCTATATGATGATTTTTCGAACTCGTCCTAGACATTGCTGACATAAAACTTCAAAATTAATTTCAAAAAAAATTTACAAGAAATGTAGGCATGAGAGTGCTTGCAATTAATTGTTTTATGAAAGGCATTTATCAGTAACTGAGGTCTTAAAGAGTGCTGGTCAGCTATTTTACAGGAAATATTCCCCTTGGAAATAAAAATATTTGGAAAATAACATTGTCAGTGATCCCATGCCTACATTTCTTCTAAGATATTTATTAAAAAGTAAAAGAAACATTTTGTTTCTATCATTAGCCTATGGATATTAAATCTGAACAACATCCACATCTCAATGGTTTGGACCTACTCGTGTAGTACGCACTGATTAAAAGAATATTTGAAACGAACCACGTTTTCCAACATCAAATCACTGTGTATAATGGCTGCTGCGACTTTTTATGTTCAAGATGTATAATTTTGTACACGTTATAAATACTATCTGTTGCATGCTGATCAGACACGTTTGACGACCCTCAGGTCACAACAACATTGTCAATAACATTGGACTAAAAACCACAATACATTGTTTTATCTGATTTTAATCATGGCAATTACATAAACTTATTAATTACATGTAATCGATTACTTTTATGTCATTCAATGTAATAATAATATAAATGTGATTGATTCATGAACACAATAACTATATTGGTCTGCTTATTATTTTCATTATATTTTTTTATGTCCAGCCTAGAAGACAGTGGTAAGATTTTTTAACGCAGTTTTTAATTACAGACTAAATATTCTATATGAATCCAATGCCGTGTGTTAAATCAAAAAGAAGCACAAAGTGAAATATAATATAATGATAAAGAAGTCATTAAAATGAGCTTGGTGTAAACGTATGTCCGGCTGTCCTTCAAAAGAATTGAAAACAAAATTTTGTTCTGCATTTTTGTAATAAAGGGAAGGGATATACGATCAAGTAAAGCAATTAAATATATTCAATGTAATCCTTTTTGGTGAATTATTAATAAATCTAATGTGTGGTCTAGCAATGTTTTGATATCCTTTATTCGGGTTAATATTTTTCTGTGCTTTTATTAATCGTTTAACATATTTGCACACTGTACTTATTAGTTCAAACTGCGTTTTTACCGTGGGATCAGAGTACAGTAGAATCTTGAAACGGAGACAGTAATTTTGGCATGAAAAGGCCTATTCTTTTTGTCTGCTTTGTTTTGAAGAAACAACAATCCTGATTAAGTGATAAGTGCAAAGCATTGTTACTTGGAGTCAGAATACTGTGTTCGAAGATGATGGCACGTCTTTCTATGGACTGATACTTTGTGATCTAGCAGGTTAAAAATCCAAGTCATTATGTCGATTTAGTACAAAGCAGGGCTTATATTTACATCACATTAATATGTTTCGATCCTGATATGCATGCAATATTTGTCACTGGACGTTGGAGATAAATCCATCATCATCATCATCATCATTTACAATTCCTTGAATCGAATTAGTTTGACGCATTTTTTTTTCCAGATCATCGTCATCTCCAATTTATAATTCGTTTATCAGTTCGAACTTTTTTTCAGATGCGGGCTAGTTTAATCGAAAAAGGCATAGCTCAACCAGTGCTACCAGTTGCTCATTTTGACCAATCAGATAGGACGGTTCCTCCGCCACCACCTCTCCCAATCCCATTACCACCACCTCTACCTCCACCGAGAAACAGTAAAGCTAGTGAAAATGTGTATCATAACGAAATAACAAAACATCCACAGATAAGAGATGTCGATTGTCAAACAACACAGAGTCTCCAAAGAGCAGTTAAACCACAAACACAGCTTGTTCAACACGAAATAAGACAACAAGAAATAACTGTTTATTACGACCAAGCACCATTTTTCGAACGTTTTTGTATGTACCAAGGATATAATCCAAAAGATATGAAACCATATCCAGTAACATTTGAACCCTCAGTGATGTGTATCCATGACAACGATTCTAAGTGAGTACAAATGACAATATATTTTACATTATGAATCATTTTCCCCCTTCGTGTACCGTTTTTAGTTTCAATACTAGCACACCTACCATATAACAATGAATTGAGGAAACAGTATTTAGGTATTGGCATTATAATCAATGATGTATTTGCTTGTAAATTTCCAGTTCATGAAATTATGTTAATATGCTACATCTCCCATATGCAAAATTGACCCGATATACGTATGGGCTGTTCATTTTTAGTGCCCTCGGTGAGTCTCCATCGTTTGATATTTCTGGCTTTAAATTTTGTTAGTATCGACCACTTTTAAAATTGATGAAGCGTATTCCAGAAACAACCGCTGTGGTCCTAGATTTACCTCGTATCTCAAATAAGGAAATGATGTGAAATAAACCGTTCACAATATAGATAATCAAAGAGAAACAAATAAAATAGTCTACTAATATAGTCAGAACAGAAACAAATAAAATTCCATTCTCAATTTTATAGTCTATTACAATAGTCAGAATAGAAACAAATATAGTATACTACAATAGTCAGAACAGAAAGACATGTGAGAAATATTCAATACTTCTTATGGAATAAGCGCAATTAAAATTAATATATTGTCAAAATATTTAGTGTCTTCCCAAAATTAAAAGTTTAACCGAGCAACCATAGATAACACTATACAATTGACTATATTCCATAGCATAGCCCTCATAATTCTAGGGTTATACATTATTGATTTATTATTGCTAAAGGAGATGCTTATATGCTGTTGACGCATACTAATCTTTTCCAAGTTAGATATGGTTGTTCGATTGTTACTCTGTAAGGGATCTATACATTTGAGTTTACGGTTCTCTAAATATTGAAATAACATTTCAAACTAATATTGTACAAAATGTTAGCTATTGGACAAGCTATCATCTTGAACAAATCCAATAGAAAACAGATCGAATCTTTATATTATTAATTCAAAAACTTACCAAAGACACGGCTAATAATTAAGTATGCCACACGACACACGCCGCAAGCTACACAAAACTAATAAGAGATACTAGAATCAAAACGGCGGGAAGGCAAAAATAACGATAGTGAAGAGCATTGAAAACCAAATATTTTAAATAGATGTGCTAAATCTAACGCCATCTATGCCATAGGTACTTGGGGTCCGGACAGGACAATTTTTTAGCCCTCCGCCTTTTTTTCTCTTAAATTCGTAAATATTTTCAATTTTCTTTTAATTATAATTTTTTTCGCGTTTAACACAAATCTATTAGAATTGAAACGTATTTACTATTAACTATCAGTTCCTAGTTAACTATCCACAAGGTCACTGCAGATAATATATATAGAGACTTCAGTGTTTCGATAAATCTAACATTTTAGGAACTTATAAATTTACAGAAAATAGCCGCATTTGTGATATTTCATGTCGACGCAGCAACGCTGACTATACGTTTTTTTGGGCTGGTGATAATATATTGCAAGAAACGTACACTAGAAGTGACATTGACCCACTGGTTATAAAAACTCACCAATGATACCAGAAGAATTAAAAGGGGGAATGGGTATACGTCAATGAAACAGCATCCAAACGATAAAATAACAAAATAGACGTCAATACGACAGACTTGCGTTTCCGTATAAATAAGAGCCACCAGTGGCCTACGAACCCTTGAAAATGTTGAAAGGCCGACCAACTTGAAATAAGAGAAACCTAGTTTCTTTTTTCAGCAAAAGTCACTCTCTTCCATAGCAACATTGTTAACCAAATAAGTCGAAAAAAATAGCATCATTTTCCTATTTTTGGTCTCGCCATTAACCATTCTCTCCAAACTGTCTCTCTAAAGATGACAATTGGCTAAATAAATTTTAACACGATTTGGTTTATCATGACGATATGTTTATCTTAAGGGGAAACTCGGATATACTGTATAAAAGCCTGATCATTGTTTTAATACAATAGCAACTGTTAATTACTTTTTTGTAGAACATACGAATCTATCCAACCAAGTAACGATTCCTCCTCCTGCACAGAAGAGTTTATGTCAATCGATGATGTGACGTGTGACGAAATTAAGAAACATTGCTGTTATTATATATTTTGTTGTGGTATCTGTTGTGATTAGAGAGTTATATAAAAGTAGAATATTGCCTTGAAACAGAAACAGTTCATGTTTAACGAGATGTCATCAAACTACACAAAGTCCACTTGACCATCGATTGCATATTTTTTGAGAGTGAAGATAAAAAAAAAAGACATGAGTAATAGCTGTTGGCATTATATTTTATTATTACTTTGACCAATCGGAAACCATACTAGATATATTGAATATGATTGAAAATGTCAGTCAAATATTTAATAAAAGTCTAAAAAAAAACCACAAAAAAAACCACAATTAAATCGCACATAATCTGACTTAAAATTTAGGTCGTTAGTTCTAGGGAGGGGTTTACATCCTTTCCAGTCAAGTTAACTATTTAATTGACAAAACAAACGATTACATTAAGAACCGTAAATTTTGTACGTACATCAAATGTGAAAATAACTGAGCATGTCTCATCACTGCAATAATATATTTACTATATTATGCAATTGTTTTCTCTTGATCGATGTAATGCATGATAATGAAGATTTATTATTAGCAAACTTACTTGGTAGAGTAATTGTAAGGTACTTGCTATAATCAATGACCAAATGGGCTTATTCTTACAACCCCCCTTTGATGGCTCCAAACGATCAGAAAACTGTCATTTTTGTGAAACTTTCTTTAATCCATTAATGTAACAAAGCAGGAACATACCAAGATGGCGTACATAAACCATTTGCCGAAGGAGACAACACCCTGCCCAAAAGATAAAAAAAATACATTTAACAATTCACACAGGATACATAGAAAATTGAAATTTTAACAACATAAACCACACCTAAAAACTTTTGAGTGAAGCAGCGTCTGCTTCATAAGTGGCACCATATCTGATCATGTCTTGTTCATGATAAGCAAACATACAGTGACGAGTCTCATTCGATGATGTCCAAGACGAAGAAAAGGGCAAGATTATCTGTTTCAACAAACTGAACATAAAACATTTGCCACTGGATATAAGCAAACAATTAATCGATAAAATATTCAATTTTGCCTTGAAGAACATTTGCTGCAGAAGTATCTCATTAATGATTGTTATAGAAAAGTTCTGGAAAATTGTACGAACTGTAACATATATACTCCATATGTAGCTGCTGTTGGAATATAAAAAGTTGAAATTGCTTTATGCAACTTTATTTATCCATAACTTCCTCTCCCTGAAAAAAGTCTACATTTTGATTGACATTGATTGATTGGTGTTTGTTAAACGTTAGCTGGCTTCTATATTATGAGTGGAAGTATCTTTCACAACAGACCAAGACACCTGCTAGAATCAACATATTCACCAATCTATAAATTATTCAGCGATGAGACATCATCTATGTACATGAGGTTAAAGGATCAGTATGATAGCTTTTTTTCATTCATCTTTTGTAGCCGTTATATGTCCTCTGCCTCATACAAATAAAGGAACTAATCAGTTAGAAGAGACGACAATTGGTTTCATTGGAATGTAGACTGTCTGTTTAATAAAAATGTCCACAAAATATAACAAATATGCTGTCAATCAAAGAATCAAGGGTCTTCCTAATGTCTTTATGTCAGTTTTAGAAATAAATAAGGTGAAAAATAAGTACACAAAAACAATTCATATGCCTCACTCCCCGATTTAAGATTTTGAACTTATATAATATATATATTCAGTTAATTATCTAAAGGACAGCTAACAATGTGTATCATAAGGTTTATGGCATTAACGTCTGGATTATCTGGTAACAAACTTATGCAGCATAAGGCCCATGACAAATAAGCATAGGTTAACCCTGTTAGAAACTCATGCATCATAAGGGTGTATGGCATATATGCCTAAATAAACACTGCAACAAACTCCTGCATCATAATGGCTATTGCGTATTACTGGATTACCACTGTAACAAACTCATGCATCATAAGATCTATGTTATATATGACTGGATTACCACTGTAACAAACTCATGCATCATAAGATCTATATTGTATATGACTGGATTACCACTGTAACAAACTCATGCATCATAAGATCTATATTGTATATGACTGGATTACCACTGTAACAAACTCATGCATCATAAGATCTATGTTATATATGACTGGATTACCACTGTAACAAACTCATGCATCATAAGATCTATATTGCGTATTACTGGATTACCACTGTAACAAACTCATGCATCATAAGATCTATGTTATATATGACTGGATTACCACTGTAACAAACTCATGCATCATAAGATCTATGTTATATATGACTAGATTACCACTGTAACAAACTCATGCATCATAAGATCTATGTTATATATGACTGGATTACCACTGTAACAAACTCATGCATCATAAGATCTATATTGCGTATTACTGGATTACCACTGTAACAAACTCATGCATCATAAGATCTATGTTATATATGACTGGATTACCACTGTAACAAACTCATGCATCATAAGATCTATGTTGTATATGACTGAAAAAGAGGGACAGTCAAACTCATAAATCGAAAACAAACTGACAACGCCATGGCCAAAAATAAAAAGACAAACAGACAAATAATAGTACAGATGACACAACATAGAAAACTAAAGACTAAGCAACACGAACCCCACCAAAAACTTAGGGTGATCTCAGGTGTTCCTGCTTCACATGTGGCACCCATCATGTTGCTTATGTTATTACAAATCTGGTAAATAGTCTAATTCGGTAGGTCACATTCGTGAAAAGGGAAGGGTATTGTAGTTATGACATAAGGAACATATCCGATATTATCTGTGAAACGGTTATTCCATAACAGTCAACCAACTTGTGATTGCGTCCGTAAAATTTACGAAGGGATGATTTTAACTTCATCATTTGGAACTCTTGGTTTAATAGCTTCCTTGTGAGCAGCAATCCTCTATCAAGGAAATCATGATAGGAAATACAAGCCCGGGAATATCCTATCAATTGGGAGATATATACTCCAATGCAGGCGCTGCTGGAATGTTGCTACATAGAAATGGAAAGTTCACAATTGGGAAGCTGAAATCATCTCTTTTGTCGTAAAGTTTTGTTTTCAACCGACCCTCATGGTCAATTTCTAGATGTAAGTCAAGATATGAGGCAGACTTAACTGTATCTGTAGTTCGATGGGATAGATTCGTTCAACATAGTCACCAAATTTTGTATTATTTAGTGAGAGAACATCATCTATATAGCGGAACGTAAAGTTAAAGGATATTGCTAACTTCTTATCTTTCTTCCTAAGAAGTTCCTGTATGAAGTCAGCCTCATAATAATAAAGAAACAAGTCGGCAAGAAGAGGGGCGCAATTGGTTCCCATTGGAATTCCGACAGTCTGTTGAAAAACACGTCCTCCAAACGTAACAAATATGTTGTCAATCAAGAAATCCAGCATCTTGATAATGTCAGTTTCAGAGAATTTTTTGTTTGAATCAGAATGATTCTCACAAAGTAGGATTTATCCCTCCCCAAGACAAGATACTTGTATCTACATTCGCCATTCTTTTTAATGAAACAAAGTAATACCAACTCTTTCAATTTGTCTTTTAGTTTGGAATGGGGAATACTTGTGTAAAGTGTAGAAAAGTCAAATGTTTTAATACTATTGCAAGATGAGAGAGTCTTAGATTGTATGTACTCTAAAAGATCTTTGGAATTTTTTAGTATCCACATCTGATTCACGCCACCTCTAGAATAGGCAGTTTCACAATAACTTTGGAGCCCGGCTTTGATTGCTGATAAAATAGATGTTAATAATTTAGAAAGAGGTTTCATGGAGCACTTGGAAGACCCAGCAATATACCCTTGTTTGTAAGGACACTTATGTAGTTTAGGTATCCAATACAGTGAAGGAAGATCAAGTTCTTCATCTTTGGTTGAAATTCCAAAGGAACATAGAACAGACCTATGATTATCCAGGATTTCCTCTTTGGTAAGTGTCGTGAGGGTATATGTTGAGTTTACAAATGAATTGTAAATACCTAATTCATTTATCAAGCAGTTTATGTAATGATATTTACACACAAAAACGATGTTGTTTGGGGCTTTATCTGCAAGGACAACATATTTTCATGGAGGTAGGACAAGTGTTTTGCAACATTTGGGTCTTTAAAAATTGACGTAGCGTGGGTATTGATAGACCCATTTAGTTTCTTAATTTCGGATTTGTATCAACGACCTCACAGCCTTAATCCATTCGGAAAGAGTATCTACGTCTTCTTTCTCGCGTTTAGCCCATTGCCTGGCATAATCCTCGACTGAATCCATCAGTATTTTGAAGTTGTATTTCCAATTGATGGATTTAGGCTCACGATATTTCGGACCTTTGAATAACAAATTTTGCAGGGAAGTGTTATTGACATTGTTGAGGTCTCCGGTAATAACGTGGCCAGCCGGATTATATGTGAATTAGGAACTAGCACAGGTGGAATCAGGAGGTTTAGACTTGAAGTCGTCAATGTTGAGATCCTGCAAAATGTGTTTGTAATTGAAAATTTTAAGTTGCAATTGGTTTGTTATAGGTATAAGAAATTATTGGTACAGACTGATCTTTAAAATAAGGAGGTATTTTCGACTGAACTAATTTATGATGAAGGATATGAATTATCACTTTAACAAACTCATGCATCATAAGATCTATATTGTATATGACTGGATTACCACTGTAACAAACTCGTGCATCATAAGATCTATATTATATATGACTAGATTACCACTGTAACAAACTCGTGCATCATAAGATCTATGTTATATATGACTAGATTACCACTGTAACAAACTCGTGCATCATAAGATCTATGTAATATATGACTGGATTACCACTGTAACAAACTCATGCATCATAAGATCTATGTTATATATGACTGGATTACCACTGTAACAAACTCGTGCATCATAAGATCTATGTTATATATGACTAGATTACCACTGTAACAAACTCGTGCATCATAAGATCTATGTTATATATGACTGGATCACCGCTGTAAAAAAATGTGCATCATGAGGTCTTGTGACATATAAACATGAATTACTCATGCATCATTAGATATGGAAGCCTGGACTATCACTGTAACAAACACATACACCATGAGATTAATTAAGTAATTACACCTTATGTTAGAATCCTGGGTTTTGATTGGTTGATAGCCAGTGTATTTTTCACCAATTTACTTTTATCAAATGAATATCGTTCATTTTTAAACAGCGCCAGAGTATATGCAAAAAGGATATGCCTTTTTTACCCTCTCTGCTGTGGTATTTGCCAAAAAATACTCTATCCAACTGGACGCTTGTAATGTCACGATCATCAATGCGTTTTATGTCACGATCATCAATGCGTTTTGTACGTTAACATTCGGTGTAATTAAACAGATATAGCATGTTCTTGAGGGGTATTTGCGAAAAATACCAGTCT